GGAATGAGTGGAAGGGTAATTGAAAGGGAATGGTAGGAGGAGAGGGAAAGGGGGAGGGGCTGAAGTAGGGAATGGGAGGAGGGGTAAGGGAAAGGGAGGGATTAAGCACTGGGATGGAAGGGTTGAAGACAAGGGGACTGGGAAAAGGGTGGACGGGATGTCGAACGGGAGGAGGGGAAAGGGTGAAGGGGTGGAGAGGAAAAAGGAGAAAGAGGCTGATAGTCGAAAGTCTCGAAAAGGAAGAATCGGAGCGTCACATCATTCATTGGCCACAGGTCGCTCTCGTATCTGTAGATGACCTTGATCCCTCCTTTACAGGGGATACCATGGTACCGGATTACATAGAAAGACAGAGAATAAAATGGTTTGGCCACCTGTTATGTATGTCATCTGGCCAGGGCAGCCAGCCTCGAGAGCCTACAACACAAAGCGCCAAGCACTCAGACAATAAAGGAGGAGGATAGGCTACGCAAAAGTTGGATCGAGGATGTCAAGGAAACCCTGAAAACAAATAAAATCACAACTGAAAGAGCTGCGGAGCTGGCCTACCATAGAAAACTGCATCTCCCCTCGACACTTAACGGCCACAGAGGTTGAAAAAATAAAAGTAAGTACCATAGTACTGCTTATCAGTTATTTTACCAACATTGTTAACAGGCCTATCATTAATATTATTGGCCACATTAATTTTGTCAACGTTTGGCCTCTACCGGAGCAACTGATTAGGACAGACATAAGGACAGAAATACAGTACAGGAAAATAGTCAGAGGGACAGATGGGTTATAATATAGTAATGAATCTTTTGTGATTGGACGCAATTTGACCGGCGTTAAGCAGACGTGAATGATCATCATAGGTGGGAATGGGCGGGGCGTGGATAGTGGAGAGTTGCTGGTGGGTAAGGGCGTAAATGGTGATGGGTCGGCAGTGGACCGGTACCTGAGGGTATTGTGATACGTTTCTAGTGGGCGCAGGGGAGAAGCGTCTACACAATCAAACAAAATAGATGCAATCACTGCCCCCCCCCCC